TCAGAGGACCAGTGCAGCAAAAGTGGGGATTTTAAGGATCTACATTGCTGAATCTTTTAGAAACTTTTATTACTGAAACTATACCGCATGCATTGGAAACATATCAAATATGTAAGCAGGTGTCTAAACTTCAAAAGGTTTTAGATTGCAAAAAACCCCAGTAATTCACACATTTATATGTTGTTTAGCTAAACCTCTTAGATCTACAAAGCCCAGCTGCAATTTTTTGTGTTCTCTTGAGGTAGGGCCTCCACTGTTAACCTGGGAAAGCAGCAGCATTTAAAACAAGTGAGAACAAATGTGAAACAGCTAACCTTCAAACAGGACTCAGTCTCACTTCTTGTGACATGAGTAGCTAGCTCTTACTACATCTGAATTTGTAGCATCCTTTGTGGTCGGGGAAGGAGATGACATGGTTGCAATTAAAAGGCAGTTGATGGGGGAAGGGAGAAGGTGGGTTGGTGACTGAACTCTGTAGCTTAGCTCACTAGCTCCCAAACCAAACATAATTTTTATGATCAAGCATTCCACACAAATGTGGCTTTAATAAGCTGCAATAGAGACATCCCTGAATATAGGCCTCCTGGCCATCCTGTCATTTTTGAGAAGTTTAGCCCTGGAGTGGTTCAGGCCTCTGCGTTGTGCTGTGGCACTGAATCCAGGGGTACTGCAAAAACTGGAGCAGCTCTAGGGCCAGCAATGGCAGGCTGTTGACCACAGTGATGCCTGGCAGTGCAGAGGCACCAGCAGATGCTACCGCTACCCTCCACTCAGCAGCCTATGGGTGGAGAAATTGAAGAAGCTATTTCAAAGCACATGCTATGGAAATTTGTGGTCCTCCCTTAGGAATAACTCCTACAGGTGATTTTGTCAAGTAACATCTCAGAAGAGTGTATAGAGAGCCCAAAGAGGACCCAGCGCCAAAATCCAACATCCTTGCTGATGGATATTTGTGCTGAGGATGGCTACCATCCGTGAAGGGAAACAGCCAGGCACAGGAAGCCAAGCAGCAACCATGAAGACAATTAAAGGTGCGTGATGATGAGGACATCTTTGGTGCTGAACATCAGAGTGACAGGATAATTTTTCATGTTTCTCAGGCTATATATATTTCGTGAATGAGCCAAATAAGCAGGTCTGGCAATGCAATGAGAGGCAGTATAGTTAAAATCCTGCATTGTCTGTCACAACAGGCACCAAAGGACAGGTTCACTCTATTTTGGCCACCAGATTAGGAATGCCACACATTGGCAATTTAGAGTTCAGAACTCCTTTTGCTGTCTAACCAACACAAACAATTGCTTATTGCTGCTCACTGCTTTCCTTCACAGCAACTCTGAATTCCACTTACGGTCGATCATTGTGATGGTGCTGTCTTCAACTACTTCACTCGTCATGTCTGCAGAATGCACCTTGATGGACACCAGGTATCTCTTGTGGGGAACGAGGGTCATGATATTAAGCACAGATTTGTCTTTTTCTATCCTTTTAGAAAATTCCACTTCGCGAGTGTCCATTTTTTTGCATTCGACGCTATACCCATCAAAGTCAGAATCAGGAGGAGTCCAGGAACACGCAATGGCAGTAGAGGTCTGGGGCCGACAATGAAGACTTTGTATCTTGTCTGGTTCTAGAGGAATGTTGAGAAGTTGAAGCTCAGGGGGAAAGGGGACAGGCATCATACACTCTCTGCTCACCCTATGGCCCCTAGATTCTGCATCAACCATTTGAACAGAGCAGGAGGCTGGGAGCCAGAATTCCCACCTCTCCTGCAAATGTGTGCTGCCTGATTATCAGGCAAGGCTGTCTAACTCATTTTAGCCAACTGAAACTGGAACTAGTGACATCAGCCTCATCAGGTTGTGAAGCTTCGGTAATTACTTGTGAAGACAAGCAAACAAAACTACTTGCTGAAGTCTTAATGAGAACAGCAACACTGAAAATCAATGGATTGCTGGAACTCTGTTACAACTTATTTGGAGGTTACATGTAGTCAACAGTATTAGTCAATACTGATACTATCATCTCAAGACTGATCTGTTTTCCTGGGTAGCATGTCGTATGTCCATATTACTAGAGCATACCACAGAAGTATGCTTTATCCATGTAATACTGGAGCACCATTTATAAAATGCGACATGTAAAAAGGATGGGATTTCACTTTCAGATGGCAGACATCTAGATTTGTGTGATTAAATACAGGTGAAAGAGGTAGCTATGCTCTTGTTTTAATTAATATGCTGAATGAAGTCTAAAGAGCTATTCAGCTTACTAAACATAGGTGACAATTTGGAGCTGAATCCCACCCCAAGTGACATGAAGGTTTGACAAGGGTCAGTTATTTTTACAGTTCCAGGTCACTTTTTCAAATCAGCCTGCTACTGAGGTTGATAGAGACAGCTAGAAATTACGTAGATCCACAGGCATGGACAGAAACGCAGAACAGTGAAACACTGATTCCAGTTTCAAATCCAGTACAGCAGGGTTTCCTTCGTCCTTCCTGTCTGTTCAGAAACATTTTGATTATTTCAATATCCTACTGTCAGTGAAGTTTGGATATTCAGCTTTATTCTGCCCCTGAAACTGATCGACTCAGGCTCAGCAACCAGACAGCCCCACTCTGGATGTGAAGATTGCAAATGTATGGCCATTTTCAATCTTTAAACAGTTGACCTTGCACACAGCAAGGGCTTAGAGTCTAGCTGAATTCACTGTCAGTCATTCATGAATTTATTAATGGAAATTACTGACTGCAAAAGGAATTGGTAAGTTTTAACAGTTTTGCATCTTCTCCAGCTGAGCACTAGGGTGCAATGGAAACTGTTACTTACTTGTTCTCACATTTGCAGACTGTGACTGACTGTATGTCTTCCAGCTGTCGCCACTGACTGTTCTGACACTGAACTCATAGAGTCTTCCTGGTCGCAGGCCATAGATGATGCGTACTTTTGATTTGCTGCTGCTGTAGGGATTGAATACTGTGAGGGGATCCTTTGGAAGCCATTGCAGCTCAAAATCGTCATAGTCTGTCCAGTCTGGAGGACCCAGCCAAGTGATTGATAAAGAAGTGTTTGCAACATCAGTAAATGATACAGTGTTAGGAGGGCTGGGTGCTACACACAAAGAAGGGGAAAAGAAGAGGAAAAAAAAAAAGAGATTCTTAACAAATTTTTACACAAGACAAATAAGATGAAGCATTCATTATTTTCTTCATGCATCACAAAGTGGTTTACATTATCCCATGTACACAGCCAGTTACTGCATCTGTGCTGATGGTGGTGACTTTCACAGACATTACATAGTCCTGAGCCTTTGAAAGAAAAACAGTGCTGAACAAAATCACACTCCATTGGTTTAATACCCTTAAGGACATCCTTTACCTTTACACCTTCAGTGACTCTTATAATAAATCCTCCCTCAGAATAAGCCTGTTGCATAGTTGTGAACTAATGTGAATTCTGACAGATGGGACTAAACAAAAATCCCAAAGCATTTGTGTTTTTTACCTGTTCTTCCTTCAGCGTTTGCTGTGTTCGTCAGGTCACCGCTGTGGGTCACCACAACCAGAGTGTACTTTCTGCCAGGAACGAGCCCCTGGAAATGCCACTCTTTCAGGTCTTTCCTATGCCATGTTTCTTTCTGTGTCCCATTTGGGTTATAAAGATTCAGCTCATAGAAGTCAACATCTCCTGCTGCTGGACCCCAGGTGAACCACAGACTGTCTGTCATGTTTCGGTTGGATGCCTTGAGACCAACAACTGGGGCTGGTACTGAAAAAAAGGGGATGAATATCACTATATGTAGAACATCCTTAGGATGAGGAGAAGCAATGAGGTCAAGCAGACCTTACACTTATTCTGTAGTAACAGCCATGTAATAAACTAGACAGCCACCACAGCTAGCCAGAGAGCCAGGAAGCATCAGGAAGTATATCTCAATAGCTTCCTTTCTTATTTTGAACTGCCACTGTCCTCAAAAGAGGCTGAAATGTTTATAACATATAGTTTTGCAAACATTAAGCAGCTTTTTCCCAGTCAGTGTCTGGAAACATCCAACTGTGAGGTAGCTGAAGAAAGCACAGAGGCAGTGGTACACAGTGGTTACTATGTGGACCTCAGAGGATAAAGAAAGGCTTCACAGTGTCAGAGCTGCTAGAGCTGCTTAGGAAACTCTGCTTCCCATGAGTGGCTAAACAAACATGGAGCTGCAGCCAGAGCTCCCCATGGAAATAAGTTTTATTTCACTGGTAGATTGTCTACCCCATTAACCCTACTTGCTTTGCCTTTGGTCTTTTCCACTCATAGACCAATATTGCTTTTAGGATGGGAGACAGCTGTTGTCCTTTAAGTCTTACGCAGCATATGTTGGGACATCTTTCTCCTGATCTGTGTACCTGGGAACTATTGCTTCTTTTCTCCTCTTGTAACCACATCTTTCAGAATTTACCTTCTTCTTTATCTAATGCTTTTCATGTAAAAGAGCCAATTTTGCTATTTCTAACAGTTGCTCTAATCTAGCATGAACATCAGACTCAGACCAGCTCACTGGTGTCCCTCATTAGCATCACACTGGAGACAGATGATTTTCTTAGATGTTCTTGCCTGTTCTTCCAAAGACAGATGACTCATTAGTGAGGTCTCCGCTGTGGGTAACAATCACCATGCGGTACATCCTGCCTTGCCGCAGGTTCTGGAATGAACATTCCTGGAGCTGCTGCTCTCCCGACATCCTGTCATGAAGGGACTTGTCTGGGTTGTATAGGAAGATGTCATATGAATCAAGCTCCCCTTGTGAGGTGGTCCAGCTGAAGGACAGTCGGTCAGTGGTGTTCTCTATGACCTTCAGATTTGTGACAGCTGCTGGAACTGAAAAGAAGGACAAATGCAAGAGTAAATATCAAAGTGTCTAGCGACTAAGCTGAAACGTTAATAAAGTAACAACTCGTGGCTGGAATACATTTCAATTAAGCCACAAGTAGTTCAGTAATGTCAACATCAACTTTCAGAAGCAAGGGGAAGGCATTTATGAGGTGCCGCTGAGTCTCTCCAATACAATGTTTGTATTTCCCAGTATGCCTGGTTCTCCAGCCTGTCCTCATACAGAACTGTCCGTTAGTTTCTACAAGAAGCTTTAATTGAGTAAAGACTGCAAGACTTGGCTCTAAGTTTAGAGGTATGTATTCACACCAAATCCTGCGCTAAAAGCCTTGAGATTGTGAATTAAAGACTTGTTGACAATAAAGCATTCAGGTAGTTCCATAACAGATAAGACTGAGGGAAGCATTTGGCACTTTGGTTTAATATCCTTATTATGAACCACGGTCACATTATTATGCCAACAAATTTCAGATTCACATACCAAGCACATATTAGGAAAAATGATACATAAGTATCTGGAGTCTATCCTTACTGGAATCATTCCAGAATCAAGATACACAGATGATTCATGTATTTAATGATATCAGACTGAAGGAGCTATAAATAAACCAATATGTTCTAATTACCTGTTCGGCCAACAGTTTCTGCTCGTTTACTGAAGAGCCCGCCACTGACTGTCAAAACTTGTATTTTATACTTCTTGCCGGCTAATAAATCTTCAAATTTGTGCTGTTTGGCAGTAGCTGGCTCTGATTTGTTGCTCAGGAGGATTCCTTGCTCATTCAAGAGCAGAATGTCATATCTTTCAGCTACACCAGGAGCCTTCTGCCAGGTTACTAACAAGGAATGACTGCTGTAAGCATGATGGGCTAGTAATTCCTGGACAGAGGCTGGAACTGGAAGCAACAATTAAAGGCAGGACATTACCAGGTGAAATACAGACCATTCAATACACGACTGTGAATAGACTAATTAATATATTTACATTTGCACATTCACTTGTGGGAAAAGGGATATTTGTGCATGTGTTTGCACAAGCAAATAATTCCTAGACATAAATACAGTCAGATGAAGTTACAGAGCACCATGGACATCCGAAATGGGCATGGAGAAGCAAGAGATATACGTCAATTATCATGGAAAGAGGGAGAAGGAAAGTGAGATGAACTGACTGAAAGAGTTAAGAAAGACATGTGAAAAAGAACTGAAAAATAAACAAGTGCAAATTGGTGCAAAATAGTGGCACGGAATAGAAAATGTTGGCCAGCGGCTGTTGCACAGAAGTCAAGGCCACAGCAAACACGGTCAGGTGCTAAAGAGAGAGGGTGGATTAAAACCAAGGTGTTCCACTGTTTGTGTGTCCTGACACGCAGCATATTGGGGCAACACATTGTCTAACAAGCCTTGACCATGCAATGGGCTCTGCTAGAATACAGTATTTGACTATGTTGAGCCCTGCAGATGTATGTGTCGGATGGGTACAGGCAGAGGACTGGGGAGAGCTGGAACTGCATTCATGCTATAAAGGCACACTTTGGGCTACGGACCTGAATTCCACACACATTTACCCAGGTAAAGCTACTCACATGACAGATCTCACTGATATTAACAGAGCCATGCCTAAGTGTTTGCAAGAGTGAGGATTCACGCTGAGATAAAAACTTCTCATGAATCTGGGACTCCCCATACCCAATGGTACATTCATAAACATTATTAAATAAGGGTCAGCTTCTGGGAAGACATAACACAACTTGCTCCTTGTCTCAAAAGAAACATACTTGTTCTCCCAAAAGCTGCTAAGCTGTTGTGCAAGGCGCCACTGTTGGATTGCACCACCACCTGGTACTGCTCCCCAGCTTCCAACTTATGAAACATGTGCTCAGAGACATGTTTGGAGACACTCTGGGAATCAAGCTGATGGTTTTGCTGAAATATAATCACTGTGTAGGAATCAACATCTCCAGCTCCTGGAGTCCAGCTCACTTTCAGGCTGTTTGTCATGCCATTAGGTGACACATGAATGTTTCTGACCGCACTTGGAACTGAAAGAAAAAAGGGAACACAAAGGCACCTGCTCACAAATTTCCTGTTTGATTCAGACTTTTTAATTGCTACTTTTTTATGGCCACAGTAAATGATTCAAAGGACAAAGAGCACTTACAGATACAATTTCACTCATGGGTAAACACAAGGAAAGCCGAAGGCATTTGTGTAGGATTGTGCCATTTTATAAGAGCAATTCTATGTGTTTACAGGAAGAAAAGTGAAGAAAATGTAAGTTTAATAGAAAAAAGTTTGTATGTTCTTTTATCTGGATAACTTCCCTCTTCTCCGAAAGATGCTTTAAAAACATCTCAGAAAAACAAAGCTCTTTATGTACACTTACGTAGGAATTTTGCAGTTATAATATCATCCATTCATTTCAGGTGCGTAAACAGAGGTGTAAAACAGCTTAAGTGATTTAGCTAGAGATACTAAGCAAACAACTGGCATGCGTGGGAAAAACAGAAACCCAAACACTGACATCTCAATACCATTCCTATGCAACAAATCAAATTATCTGCCAATAATCAAATATTCGTGCCTGTGACATTTGTTTATTAAGCACGGATCAAGTTGGCTGAAGTACTACTGTGATTTTCAGTAAGATCTGCTGTCTTTGTGCCAGTGTAATAGAGGCTCAAATAAGATCATGGTTCTCCCCTGATCTTCTGTGCCTCATTCTTTGCTCTAGAGATGCCTCAACACATTTTAAACACATTATTTCTTACTTGTCAGGCCTTCTATGAAAGTAGCACGTTGTGCATCTCCACTGATTGTCAAGACAAGAATTTTGTACAGACGTCCTGGAGTCAGAGCTGTGAACCAATACTCCTCAATGGTGTTCCCAAGGAAAATGGGCGGGAAGATCTTCATATCATTGAAGAGGAGCTGAATTTCATATTTATCAACATCCCCCTCAGCCTTTGACCAAGTTACCTGCAGATCTTCTGTGCTCCTGTTACTAAGAGTCAGTTCCTTCACTGACTCTGGCACTGAAGAAGTGAGAAGAAAGACAGGAAACTTCTCAGTACAAAGATAGGAAACTTCTCAGTACTTATTACCAGATCACGGCAAAAAGATAACAGCTCTGAAGCGATGCTCCTGAACTAAAACTTTTCATTCAGTTCCCTAGGAAAAGCAGTAGATCGCACTTATTCACAAGGGTTGCTGTTTGTGGTTTGCACCATATCTAACACTGGAAGGTCCCATTTCAAAACAGGGAGTTCACAATCTAACAGCATAAAAACAATAAACAAATAGTAAGGAAGCCTGCAGGGAGTTTGCATAGCCAACAAAAATTGACTAGGATCTGCATGTACAACAAATGTGGTGCAAAGAGACCTGAGCTAGTGGAGACCTGAGACAAGCTGTCTATGTGATACAGCACCACACTGCCCAGTTCCCAACTCCTGACAGATGCAGGTCAGCTATTTTTGCCCAGTGCTACACCTGTGTTAACAGACTTGGTTTCTTAGCATGGCTTATTAGCTTACATGTAGTGCTAGGTGAAGACAGGCAGATTGCATGCAGATCCCTGCTGGCTCTCAGCTAGCCACCTTACCGCTCTTTCCCCATGCTCTCCAACTCCAGTTCTTGGAGTAAATCGAACAGAGTGAGGTCTAGTCTGTCTTCTTGCTTATACATTTTCATGACCAGAAAAAAAGTTTTGTACATTTGGGCATAGTTTAAGCATAAATAATAAGCTTATGTGGAAATCCGTACAACTGTGTTTCAGTTTTCCGTGTTACAAGATTTGCTTCCCAAGTTCACAGCACAGGTCTCTTCTTTCACTTTCTGTATGTAACTTAAACATTGGGCATAAACTAAATACTGCTTTCTATATTTGGAATGACATCCATTCAAAGAGTCACACTCAACATCCTATGTTAAAATCACATGAGATTTTTGAGCCCAGCTATGGTAAATAGAAAAAAATCCTGCAGTGTCTCAGGATGTTTCTGGGGTTTTACTTACTTGTTCTGCCATAGACTCTTTCACTAGTTTCATATTTCCCACTCCTTGTGCTGACGGTGACGCTGTACTGCCTCCCTGGGACCAGATTAGTGAACACACATTCATTTTCATCCTTTGGGACACTTTTTGTTTGGATGAAATCATTGTTGTTCTTGATGATCACTTCATAATTATCAAAATATCCAGAGGCATGTAACCAGGACACCTTCAAGTAGTCACTTCTGGCTGAATTGCTGACAGTAAGTCCCTGTACACTTGAAGGGACTGAAAGAAAAAACACAATTAAAGATTCAGAAAGCAGTAACTTCCTGAACTAACAGGAGTTGCTGTAGTGAACTATATTTGTGGTAATTACCAGACTTTTCTGAGGAAGTTGCAAAAAGACCACAACGTGGATTTAAGCAATACCCTACCCTCTAAAAGAGGAACTGTGCAGTTTCCAGGCTGCTTTATGTCATATGACAATAGTTTGCCATTCCAACTTTCACCCTTTTGGAATTTGGTCAGTTTGCTTATAGCAGTGAGTTTCACAGTTTCACACTAATCCTGAATTTGCTTCTGCTCATTTAAATGGCCGTGTCTTGGATTTTCACTTACATCATGAGAAGACTAAAATTGCACTACCTTGATACTCTTTGTCAGTTTAACACCCCTTACCATGTCTTTTATTCTACTGGTTTACCAAGTGTAAAGTCTCAGTCTTTTCAATCTTTCACAAAGTTTTAAAAAGTTTTCCATCATTATTGCCACCCTTTTCTGAAATTTCTCTGTTCCTGTTATAATCTCCTTGAACACCGCATGACAAAAACCACAGATGTGGGTGTTACATGACCAAAACCAATACGCATGGGGTTTACTCATTTATGTGACACCTTACTAATATTTTAGTAGTTAGCTCCTATCCCATTCTTGCAATGTTTGAGTAACTTTTTGGGAGGATGCTCTGCAGGATATACTCGAAGAGCCAACTAGAGGGGTTAAGGGCAGGAAAATGCATTTGAGCCAGAACTGATACATGATTTCTGCTCACTCACAAGGACTCACACATGGCTTTTATTCATGCTAAAGTAATTTTGTATGACATAAAGCAGCAGTAGGGTCATATGAATAAGACTAAGTCTGTAAAGCTGTAATTTTATGGTTTGATCCTCCAACCCCTACTCACACATCCCAGTTTGGTCAGATATTGATAGATCATTGATAATGGGTATACAGAATGGTTATTGCAACTGGATTTGCTCAGAGGCTCTCTTTACCTGTTCGTTCCTGGCCGAAGGAATAATTTTCATACTTCCCACTCTTCGTGGTTATCATCACATTGTAAAGTGTCCCAGGAGTAAGGCTGCTGAAGGAGCATTCACTGAAGGATTTGGAAACGGTGAGAGTCTGAACAATCTGGTCATCGTGAGAGAGTGTTACCAAATAACTGTCTACATCTCCAGAAGCTGGCAGCCAAGAAACACTGAGGTAGTCACTGCGACCTGAGTTATTTAATGTTACTCCAGTCACGCTGGAAGGAACTGTGCAACAAAGAGGAAAAATCAGAAGAACTTTAACTAGCCAATTCCTGTTGTTGTGAGAATGCCTGGAATGCCACCCTGCAAAATAAGCAGTCTGGCACTCCTGAGAAGTTCTGCCCTGACTCCCACTCAGCAGCACTCATCCACTTTTTTGAATACAATGAAGGAAATCGTCTTTGGTGGCACAATCCTGGCACTTCTAAAATCCCCAAAGATGAGTTATCCTCTCAAATTGCCATTCATCAGTGATAGCAATAACTACTGAGGCTTGTATGAAGTTGAGGCCCGGAGCAGAATGTGTTCATTTACTATGCGTTCTCTGACGCCTAGTGGCCAAAACATGACTGCAATTTGTTTTTCAAGCCAGCAAGGTAAGCTCAAAGGCTCCACATTGCCAGAGCTACCATCACTCAGATACAAAACTTACAGAGTAATTACAGGGACAGACCTTAATCATAATGAACTGCCACATTTTCACCGGACACTGATGCACTAAATTGACTTACCTCAGGAGAGGGGCTGGCCATCAGCTGTCAGACTTAAAAAAAATTAGAATATTTTATAAAATATGTTCATGTACTTTTTAGTGTTATTCTTCTCCAATTCTTTTTTTTTTTTTTTAACCCTGAAAATTATTGTTTTCAAGGAGAATATTGGAGCAAACTGCAGAACGCCTGGCCTTTTCCAAATTCACATAAAGGGTGGAATTGCACTGTGCTGTCAATTTTCCCCTCTATCTAAATATCCAAAGGACTGATAATACATTTCATGAGTCATTAAACTTAGAGAATTTGATGCAATTGTAAATCCTGTCCTATGCAGTATAGAAGGGCCTCATAACGAGTAATTAACCCTGGTGGACATTCTTTAATTTTGGATTGGAGAAAAAGAATGGGTCATGAGAGACACGAATTCATCCCACCACCTTTAGGCAGCTAATCAGCACACCTAAGTAAGGAGTAACCACCCTACGCTGCCATCATCTAGTCAACGGAACAAGAAAATCCCTTCCAAGTAGTGATTCACCCACCACAGCTGTACATCACTCTCAGGGCATGTTTTTGTCTGCAGTACAGAGTGATCCTGCTGTACAGAGTTCCTGTTGTAGGCAGAGCAGTTAGCTCCCTAATGCTCCATTAACATGAATCTGGACCCGCAGTGTGTGGGGCGTGCCCGAGGTCACACACAGGAATTACATAGCTGAAACTCCTGTTATTTCTGAATTTTCAGTCCAGAGGCTTAATCACAAGACCATTCTCTTTAATAAATTCAGCTTTTAGGAACTGACAAAAGACATACTGGAGTATTTCCTTTTTACCTGTCCTCCCCTCTGAGATCGTTTGCCTTGAAGATATCCCACCGCTGACAGTGGTGACAACAACTGAATAGAGTCCTCCAGGTTTCAGGGGATAGAAGTGGTATCTGTTAGTTTCACTGGGAACTGTTTCATTTTTAATGACAACATTCTCGTGAATCAATAGCACTTGGTATGAGTCTACATCTCCCAGTGCTCTTGTCCAGTTGGTGAACAAGCTGTTGGTTGATCCCTGACTTGCCACGGTCAGACCGGTCACTTGGGCTGGCACTGCAAAGAAAATTGTCATGATGTTACTGAGGAGAAACAAATTGTAACAAAACAAAATCCCCCAAATAACCCAAGTTTAGTCACACTGAGGAAGTGCATCAAAAGAACATTCCAGTTTGCAGCCAGACTCAACAGGACTAAAAATAATCTAACTGTGGACTGCTTCCTGTCTGATGGGATGTGGTCTATGGGAAACTATCTAAGGCACAGAAAGGTCCTGCAGGCTTTAGCACAGCTTTCTCACTCAGACCCAAATGATTCAAGATCAGGGAATGGGAAGAGATAGCATTTTATAAATACCATTAAACAAAAGCCATCAATCTAGGAAATCACTTGGGTTTTTGTGATGATTATTTCAAATACAGTCTGTGTCTTTCATTCTCCCTTTCCTCTCCTATTTCCCGTCTCTCATTCCTATTAAATGGCAAACTAGTTTGATGAATACCTCAGGCACAGTCATCTATACCTCAGAGAAGTGTCAAACCCTTTAATTTTGAGGGTAATCAAGATGGATAGGTTTGGTTTTACTTTTTACGTCAGAAGATCTGCAGGATATTAACTTTTCTAGCATTAACAGATTAATTAATTGTTAAAATAACATGACATGTATCTAAGTATAAGCTGGTGAACTTAGTCAGACCAAAAACGGAAGAATAAAGAACAGAAAAGAATGGAATATGTAGCACAAATTTTACCCAAAATATTTTTTTTTTTTTTTTTTTAATTTGACAGTATTTGGTCAAAGCAAGGAAATACAGTTGCTTCTTTCTAAGTATTTCTGCTTGCATGATCAAGCATGACTGAAAAAAAGAACGCTCCAACTTTACAAAATGTGATTGCAAGCTTCATCTCTTATTTTATATCAGCCTTTTTGCACACATAGTACTGGATTAGCAATCATTAACAAAAGCTAGAAAATTAGGTGCATAGCTGAAAAAAATGTAATGTTGATAAAAAATAAATCAAAAATCCCACCTGTTTTATAATGCTGTCACCACATAGTAAGCTCCAACAAGACACTGCAGTGCCACATTTCTGTGCTAAAGGCACTTTTAGTCATACCTCAGGCTTCACTAGAAGCTGACCAATCTGGGATGCATGTAAGACTTATTTCTGTCATATTAACAGCAATATTTTGCAAGCCTAGTAAGCTGTCCTACTGAAAAGAAGATTCGGGGGTTTTAAATGCTTATTAAGACCTATGTTCAAATTCACCGATGTTCAGTCTTTATCACTTTGAATGTAATGCTGACACAGTATCCCTGCCTGATGTGTTTTCAAGCATTGATTCATACTAGTGAAGTGGGACACTGTAACCTTTATGCCTGAATAGGCCTCCTAAAAGGGTGTAAGGCAGGAGGAAGTGAAATCCCAGCTATCTAATCACAGAGCAGAGAAATTAAAGTGTAAGTCAAACTTTTCAGGCCTTGGAAGGAATTACGAAACTTTAGTAAGGACCACTATCAAGCCATAGGCATGATTAGATTCATACACTAGCAGCTTGTTTTTCCCTGTGCTGTGCCAGACCGAGCTACATTTTAAGACTTTGCTTGCAGAGAGGAATGCTTAAGTCAAGGAGAGTAAAGCACACATATGGTTTAAAACTTGCACACGTGCACAAAATTGGCACCCTGCAGGGGGTGGGAACGGGACCTTCCTTGTGTCACAGTCATCATCCTAAGTACAGATACAGATTCTGGAATCAGAAGAGCAGAAAGATTCAAAATACATTTTCAAGGTCACGTATGTTTTGTGCCTGTCAACCTTGGAATGTTCCCCCTAAAGCAACATTTTCCTGTGTGGTGGTGTTTTTTGTTTTGGTTTTTTTTTTCCCAGATGATGAATGCTTTGAATCAAGGAAGTGACCTTCCTGAAGATACCCAGTGAAAATTGTTCTTATATGGAATCTTGTGCTAATGTAGATTGATCAGACATGACATAATATTTCAGAAAACTGTTTTGCCAGGAATTACATATCCATTTCGCTAATACTGCAAGATAATTGACAGTCAGAAATGAGAGACTCAGAAACATAACTTTTCTATTAAGGAAATAAATGTAAATTCAAGATTTTTGAGACTTAGACATGAGTTCATTCCGTTCACTACAAAGCAAAGAAAGTTGTTAATGGTTAACAGAAGTAAAGAATAAAATAGTTTGACAGGATGATACCTGTTCTTCCTTCCACTGAAGTCCAGTTGCTTAAAATCCCACTAATGGTAGTGATGGTAGCTGTATATTTTCTTCCAGGAACCAGGTCAGTGAAAGTGAATTCCTTAGCTTCTTTTGCAAGCCCTTTTTTTATGACAGCAAGATCCCTGTCTCCCAGTGAAACCACATAGCTATCCCATTCCGCAACAGGGGTCATCCACATGACACTAAGTGAAGATTCATTAGCATGCTTCACACGGAGCTGGAGAACAGGCTCTGGAGCTGTAAAAGTACAGCAAAATCACAAGGAGAACAGGACTTTGTAGTGAACACACATGCCATATCTCAAGCTGCTGTAAGGAATCTGTTCTGTAAGACAGAATTGTGACAGCAACAGAGTATTTGTAATCAAGAAAAGATTTTTTACCTTTCTCTAGGAAGCCTGTCTTACAAACCTAGTATTTGTGCGACTCTTCCAGTAAAGGGCTGTAGCTGCAGACTTCGGCAATGCATTATGGCTGTAATGCTTAGGTTTAAACTTATGTCAGCATATGTATTTTAGTATGAATGGAAATGCAGTGAAGTCAGTGAGCTTCCACTTGAACTATGGGTGCTAGACAGGGATATAAAACATTTGTACCATAAACCGGATCTACACCAATTTAGCTGTAACAAACAAGGATGCAAATTTTAGGGTCAGAATGACATTGATTTTACACTGGTTCATATCTCAGTCAAGTTGGGAGACACTCCAAACTTACAGTGGTATAAAAGAAAGAATTTGATCAGTAAACTTCTGTGTGCGTTCATGTGTGTGTGTGTGTGTATGCAGGCACACAGAGGGCACCTGGTACCTAACGTAGTCCCCTGATGTGATTTTGTCCCTGTTAAAGTGAAATAGAACTCGCTTTCCAAGACTATGGGTTTATGTAAGAGAAAATTAAGTCAGAACAGGGCCTTCATAATGGGTACATTAGGTACCTGACTGTGGGTCAAACACAGTTGTGATACACTCACTGCTGCATATTATTTATTGGACCATGTTCTAATTGCTTAGCTGCCTCAATTAAAAGTAACACCATAAACGTAAGTCATTTGTAATGTATATCAAAGTAAGCAAGATGAGAATGTGCCTTGCTCTGATCAAGCTGTCTAAAAGTTAGAGAAAGCTTCAGGTCTGTAGCTTCTCCTGGTCTTGCCGTTGTACAAAATTAATAAAATGTAGCCCTCAGGGAACGACAGGTAAGGGTGTAGCAGAAAAGGCGGGCACAAGGAAAGGAGATGATAAAGTAGGGTGGCCCTATCTTATCTCACATTTTCCAGTGAGAATAAGGCTCAGGCTTGAGCCTTGCCTGAAACTCCTCCTCCAAGTGTTCTTTTTCTCTGAATTGCACTCATTTTGCAGTCATAGAGCAGAACCATTAACAATTATATTGCAATTATTTTTTTAAGTTTGAAGCAATATCATCAGATGTGGCTTTGACTAACATGCTGCAAAAGAATTCCACTCACGTCCTGCAGTGTATATGGATTTCCATTGGAAAGGCTGTCTTGAACGGACTAGTCCCATTTTCTTTCTGGATCATAGGAACAAGAACTGGGTTGTTACGGAACAGCCACACTAACATACAGTTCAGCCAGCTTTGGTTTACACTGTTGATATTCTTTATACAGGCTGGCAAGGAAACCAGCTTGCCACAGAAAATACTAACAAACAATACAGGAAGATCTATATTGCTCTCTTAAGAACTATACAGGGTGCCTACAATCAGTTACAAAATATAACAGTGAAACGTTGTACATGTAGTGTAATGCCTCAGTCATGTCAGAATGGTGATATAATTCCCAAAACTTTCACTAACAAAACATTTACCACAAAAATAACCCTGGACTTCAGGAGAGCAGACTTTGGC